CATTTTCACAATAGACATTTATACACCATTGGATAGAGAATTTAAAGGGCTACATTTTGGACTATTTATTTTTTAAAACACTCGAAATCGACTTTTTGGCCTAATGTCCGCTTAGTTGCCCACTGTGGTCACTGGAGTGACCATTTGTAGATCGATGGCAAAAAATTAAGAAAAAATGGAATTTAGAAACTTTGAGAAGATGTCCTGTAGCAAACTCCATAAACTATCGATTGGTGAAAAAATACTGTGTTTCGTTGGTTTGTTTCGGGAAAAGATTAATCACAAAATCGATGACTTTTGAAAAATCACAAAAATTGGATTCTTTTCGAAAAATATTTTTCTACCAACAGGCAAGATACATCTTGATAGCCTGTTGTGTGGTATATAATGACAACAAGGTCTACTGCCAATATCAATGCCTTTCCAAAGTATCAGAAAAGCTAGGTAGATAAGAGATGGTACGACATTGAATGGTCACCTGAGTGTCTTTGGGTCATTGGGGGTGAATGACTTGAAAGTCATTTTCCGTTCACTTCTGGCGCACGCAAACGATTCACAAACCATCCAGATCAACATACTATTCATCTGTCTCCTGGATGTTCCGTGACACCAGATGACATTTCACTTTCATCACAGCAATGCTCATCTGACGACGACGAGGTCACCAACAACTGACTCAACGATGATGCAGCTAGTGAAGAATGCCAACCAAGATTACACTATTACAAATATTTTTTCGCTGTTTTGTTTGAAAATTTTTCCTAAACTTTTGGTAGTACCCCTTGCCAAAAATAGAAAATCTACTGCGGTATTGAGTGTGCTGAATACGAAAGGCACTTTTTCGCAACCTAAATGAACTTTACTTTTTATGTCGACAGACGATACGTGTTTTTGCTGGGAATTTTGTTTTTCTTTCTTTCTTTCGTTCCTTTTTTAAGCAAAATGTGCACCTGGTGATCTAGAGAACTATACTACGTAGAAAACTTCTAAAAACGGGGGGATAATCTCCTGATACTGGACATTGATCAATGCGGGTTCTCCCAGGTCAACTATCTTGCAAAAGTCGCGACGTGACTCGCGATGAAAAGTCACTTCGTGAACGCGTCACGCGAATAGCAGCCTAGTCGCTAAATGTGACGCTCTTACCGCGATCGCTATAAATTCGCGATGAAGTGGAATTTTGCTACACAGTATTTTCTGTATATTCTTGTAGTTTTACAGTAAAGAAAAATGTTCGATATATTTTTTGTAGAGAATGAAATGGCGAATCTTTTAAAAGGAAGTTTAAGTCTATGCGAGCAAAAAGAAAAAGTTATTCCATTAAAAGTATCAAGGTCATGTCACAGTATCTGCGAAAAAAGCTAATGTTGATCTTGAAAAAGAAGCGAAAAGAGAGAACAGTATGTACACATATGTACTTGGTTATAATGTGTTATGCATAATAAGAGAGAGAACGACGAAAAACATATATCTTGATGGTATGTCAATATATATTTCATGGAGAAAACGCCTATTAATTTCTTTTGGTTTCGTTCATAAATAGCGCACTTTTCCTGTTTTAGGATTCACAATCGAATTTTCCATTTCCTTTTGATGAAACTGCGATTCTTTTTTATCGCGTTGCGAAAACAGAAGTTTCAAAAGTTCACTTGATATACTACAAACAATGGTGATCAATTTCATCAATGTCTTCAAGCTTTTAATTATTTGCTTATCATTTGGTACGTTTTGTTTTGTTATTGACATGGTCAACGGCGGTTGCCAAGGAAATATTCTATATTAAGTGGAAAAAACATTTATTTTTACGTGTAGTTTTTGACGTTGTAGTTGGGAGTTAAGTTTAGTTTTACACCCGGGCATCTGTCTTTCGTCAACAATCATCTTCAATCTTAGATGTGGGCGGATAGTTTACAAACATCATTCTTGCTGTTATTTAGGATAAAAATCAAAATTGTTCACTAGGACTATGTAACGGATCAGACTATCTGAGAAAAAATTGTAAACTTGATGGTAGTATGTACGTCCAGCGATATTTCCTGACGTATGGAGCTGTTCTAATAGATATTCTTTAAAAATCTCTTCTTTGTTCGAGAGTACTGGAAGTTAAATAAGGTACCGGCAATTCAAAAGGGTAGCATCAAATGTTTTCCTTCTTTTTGGCATAGTTGGATAGAACTGATTCATCTTTTTGGATGAAAAAATTTTAAAATACTGATCTTTTGAACTTCAGCAAAAGACAGTAAAATTTTCAAGAAAAGCAAAACTTTTTATGTTTGATCGTGTTTTAAAACTCCCAAACTATTTTTTCTTATTTTCCATTGAAAATTGAGTCTGGACGATTGGGTACTGTAGAAGCTAAACTGAACTTAGAATCTGCAGAACACCAACAGAATGGTAGAGGAGCTGACAGTCAGTTTTGCAAACCTATCTGGCCCTAGCGTTTTGGAGATAAAATTCTGTTTTTGACTTCATTCTGATCGTCATACTTGTAGGAAAAAAGTTACTGTTTGGAAAATTTTGTTTCGTTGCCAAGAAATTCAAGTTTTTGGAAATCAATGAAAATACAATGAAATTAGGCTCGTAAATGAATCTCGGGCTTCCTCTATCAAAATTTAACTTTTCAACAAAAATAATGTCATTTTCGGAATCAACGCTAAAAACCGAGTTGCATAATGCGTGCTTCAGAACTTTTAGGCTAGTCCATAATTTTCTCAATTTTCTCAAAAATTGAAAACTCAAGATTTTCATTCAAAATCCAATTCCCGAAAAATATTATACCAAAAATAGTTGAGTGATTAGTTACCATCTGACGATAGTAGCTAAAGTATTTATTATTATCTATGACCACGTTACCTTTCATAAATAACATATATTTTGTGAAAATTTCAAAGACACACTTCGCGGTTGTTACCTATCATAATCAGAAAATCATGAGATCTCTTGTTTAAATACAAACATTTGACTTGAAAATTTGATCAATACTATTTTATGTCACTAAGATGTTATGATATCTCGAACGACCGGAAAGCATTTATGGTTCATATTTCATCTTAAATAAAACAAGAAAAGAGAAATCTTTGATGATTGAATTTAATATTTATACACCAATTTTTCATTTCTCAACAATAAAAAGGCTACTGATTTCTTAGTTATTCCACTTTAAAAAATTGCAAAAAAACAACTATAATACATTATTGAAGTTTGCTGCTATAAACATTTGAAGAAAAAAAAAATTAAAAATCACTGTAAGCATATAAAGATTTCTTCTCGTTTCCTACCCCCTCGAGACACAACGAAGTATAGAGTAGAACGAAGGAAGAATATTTTCAAAAAACAAGCAATAGTGTGCGTTAAAAATAAATTTTCAAGCGACCACTTTTTTTTTATTTAATTTTTTTTTTATAATAAAAAGGAAGAATTCTTAGCTGTAGAAAAGAAGCTGTAATTGGATTTTATAGACAGACATACATATACATATATATCTACTGCTGTTTCAAGTAAGTAATGAAGAATATCTCATTAAAATTTGAAAATTAAAATTTTAATAAAAAATTCATAGGGCGTCAGTTGCAAGATTGATCAATTATTATTTTCTAAACTATTGAGACGAAAACGGTCGTTAAGGAACAAATAAACTGACACATACAGTGAGAAAAAATTTGCATGATGAGTTTGAATAGCGATTTGTTCAGATACAGTTGCTTATTTGCAAAATGTAACATGACGTCTCAACTATGGTATGTACATCGCTCCAAGCGAAGTGCAGGTATTTTTAAAGTTAGATAAAAATTTATTCTTTAAGTTCTATTCAATAATAATAAGTTCTAAATAAATATCTCTTCTTATTTTAGGTTAATTTCACCGTTTAATAATGGCTGCTACAGATGATCGAGATCCGTTTGCTGATCTTGAATATCGTATACAAAATCCAAAAGTGAGTCAAGACGTTGTCAATAGAAATTCTGGCATTAATATATTAAGTAAACAGCCAATATCCAAAGCTGTACAACTGAAAGCAGAAAATTATGATCTCTGGTTTCAAAATGAACGTTTAACAGAAGAGAATGGTGCATTGGGAATTGAATTGGGCAAATTACAAGATAAACACGATAAACTCATGTATTTAGCACGAAATCGTTTAGGAGAAATACGTTCAAAATATCAACGTTTAGAACAAGACAATCAAACATTAAAAACAGAATTAGAAAAATTAGCAAGAGAATATGAAGCAACAAGAAAATTAGTTGAAGATTATAGACGTATGGAAGAACGGTATGTCGATAATATTCGATAAAAATCAAAATTATATAAATGATATATTTAACATTAATTTTGTTTCAGGTTTAAAACCGCTGATCGTGAAATGCGTTTAATGATTGATACATTAACACGAAATAATGAAGATTTAAAAGGTCAAAATCAAGCATTAATCAATGAATTAGAATTATTGAAAGAAAAATATTATATTGCAAAACAAAATTTAGAAAAATCCATGCGTGAAAGTGGAATGTTAAAAGATGAATTGACAAAAGCTGTTTATTCTCGTGATTCACTTGAGAAAGAAGTGGCAAGATTAACTGGAAAAGTAAATGAATTATCAACAGCTAAAAAAGCGGCTGATGAAAAACTTGACTTTTTAACCGGAAAAACAAATAATTTACAAGTTGATCTACGTCGGTACGTATTTTTGGTAAGAATATCTCTTTTAATTTTAATGTATTTCTTTTTCACTTGATAGTTCAGAAGCAAATGCGGCCATGTTACAAGAACGATTTACATTGATTAAAAATGAAAAAGATGCATTAGATGCTGATTCAAGAAATAAATTAACTCTTTTAATGCAAAAATTAAAAGAATTACAAGTACAGAATAAAACGTGTATGGAACAATTACATGCACAAAGTAAACAATGTGACCATCTAAACGGAGAAAATAAACAGTTACTGGAATATGTTGTAAGTAAAGTATAGAATGACTTTCTATCTTTCTTATATAAAATGTATAGACTAGATTTGCTAGAGATTTAAAAAACTAGGAGGGAAAGCATCTGCTAAACGAATACGGTTGCATCACTTTGAAATATTCTTCTTTTGATTAGAATTAAGTCGGCTGCGTGTGCGTCTTTTGGTACTGTTTTATAATGTTCTCTACTCTCTAAAAAAACAGATTTATTACGAAACCTAAAAGGATATAGAGAAGTGCAACCATTTCGAAGCCGTTTTAGGTTTCGTATGAACCCCATTTGGGTTTCGTACTTCGACTACGAAACCTTTATGTTCGCTCAAAACCATAAAAGATTTCGTAGTCGAAGCACGAAACCCAAATGGGGTTCATACGAAACCTAAAACAATTTCCAAATGGTTGCACTTCTCTATATCCTTTTAGGTTTCGTAATAAACCTATTTTTTTAGAGAGTAGGGATATCTCGTGACAACTCGAAATTGTTTATCCAAAACTTTTCTTATGCTGAACTTCAACCTAATCTTAACAGAATAAAAATATCAGTAGTAAATATGCTGAGTTCAAGTTCTTCGAGTGGACGGTTGAAATTTTTAGAGGAGCTGTTGGCTAAAAAAATGTTGCTAAAACGAAATCAGCTGTTTATTTTCGAGTGGGCGAATCGAAATTTCAGGTGGGCGCCACCCACTAGATAAATCACTGCTTCCTTTCATAAGAATTTTACTCTACTATACGAGAACTTTAGTTATAAAAGCAGATAGAACACCCATCTCCACGAGAATCATTCCCGCAGGAATTTTACTTGCTTCCACGAGAACCTAAGGTGGTCTACTATATATATTTGAGAGAGAGCTACTACCAACATAAAACGGGGGAGAGGGAGCACGACAGCATAGGTGTGGACCGCTGCCCTCATCAGTTATAGAGGGTATGCATGACTGATACATCCTGATCCTACTTACCTATGCAATTTTTACATTTGAATTTTCTCACATTACCTGACCTACTATACATTTGACGGTCATATGTTCTTACCGTACCGCACCATTCGATTCACCTTACGTTATCCCCTGAAGAGTTTCGAAAGAAAATTTTCCTTTTGAAGAGAACTTTTATACAAGGTGAAGTTACCTGAAAATTTGCACACAACGAGTCCTTTTGGATAAGTGGAAACACGTGCAAACAACTATTAAAATTGTGTAATAGACCAAAATTATCGTGAAAATTCTCAAAATTCCTGTAGAAAAGTAGAATTCTCGTGAAGAATGTATTCTGAATATTCTCAGTTCCTTTGAGACAAGCAGAATTCTCGTGTAAGAGAGCAAAATTCTTGTGGACTTTGCAGAATTCCGGAATCGGTGAAACTCGGACATTCGTCGAGGAAGAATGACTAAAAACAGATGGATTTGCTCGGATCAAGTTTAAAATCCTAATAATATACTTTAAACTTATCTCATTTTAGAAAGGTCTCATAATATTGTGTGAAAACCTGTTTTGAGCTTATTTCATGTTTCTTTCATCGATATAGAACTTTAGATTTTGCGCTAATACTAGACGTGCCAGTTTGACATAGAACTTATGTCTCATTATTGGAAGTGTAAAACTGTTTGACCATATTAAACACTATGGTAGAAACGATCTTCTCCACTAAATTTCGGAAATTGTCCTGCATAGATGTGAGGATGAAGGATATCTCAGGGATGCTTTTTGGGCACCCCTACCTTTGTTGTACAGTTTCGAATATCTGACTAGTCGAGTATAGAATAGAAAATCCTTCTTCGAACTTAAAAAAGAAAAGGACTTATTCATTCTCTCGTGTTATACTTTAACTTGCCACCATAAAATCTTCTTTTCCGTTTTTATTTTAGAATGGTTATCGAAAAGAAAATGATTTATTAGCAAAACAATTAGTATCTGTGAATACTAAACAAAAACGTTTAGCATTAGAATTGGAAAAACTGAAAAGTGTTGATGCATTTATGAAAAATGAAGAAGCTATGAAAATGCAAGATGCTCTAATGGGCTTGACAGATCAACTGACACAATTGAGAAAAATGCATGCAAATACATTATCAGAAAATCAGCGTATTAAAGAATTATTAATTGAAAAGGATTCAGTATTAACAAATTTAGGTTACGAACGTCATCAATTACAAGATAAAATGGTTAAAAATGAACATACCATTCGTCAATTAGAACGTATGTTAGACAGTAATAAACGTTCTCCATTAGAGCAACAACAAGCGACAAATACAACAGCTTATTCGTTCGAAAATGCTTTAGATTCGTGATTATTGGCTTCTTATATTTCCCCTTCGATCTTTAGCTGATTTCTTAAAAATCTCTCCTAATACGAATTCTACGTCTATTTATTAATTTTGTTGAACATTAAACAATAAATTTGTATAAAAAAGCAAACTCATGCAAACCTATTTTAAATCGTTTGCTAATAAAGGATCTCTATGTACATAATCCAGATAAACCATTTCGCATCATCTCAGTCATGAACAAGCACATACTGCCAATATAACACAAGAAAAGTAAAAATCATCGTGTTCTATGGGTCACTGTGTTTTCTATTCATTTGTTACACGAAATTTTTATTTATAGAATACGAGAAGACTATTGTTCATTTTTTCTACTGTTCAATATGTTTCTGAAATATTTAATTACTTTTATTGTTTGATTTGGTTTCTCTTCACTAGAACTTTGGTAATAGGAAAGGGGCATTTTGCGGGGCATTTTCATCATTTTTCAACTAACTATTTTCTTGAACTAGAACTGCTAGATTAGAATCTGTATATATAAGGCTACAGAATCTCTAATAGACTACTCCAAAATATTAGAGAGAGTCTCAGAAAAACTGGTTTATACAGAATATAGAATATATAGAGTATGAGGTTGGTGGTGGAATATGAAACTGTTGTCTGCTTAAACATAGAAAAAAAATTGAAAGAACAAAAATAAATTTGACTTAACGAAATATTCTTAGACTTAATTATAGCACTAAATACATTCGCTGATCGTGAACTATAATAATGTTAAGCATGATTTTAAAAAAATCTGAAAAATCAGTTCGAAGCTCGACAAATTTTCTTACAAACACTTAGATTCCGTTTTATGTGTAGGTAGCACGAAGCATCGTCTGTCAAACGAGAATGAAGCAGAACCTTGGTTTTAGCGTTTTTGACTCGTTATTTAGAGCTCTCGGAGTCGTAGGAGTGGCACTGGGCACGTAGGATGACAGTACAAACAACAGAAATTCTGTTTATCGGCCACTCGGAGTCACGCAGTAATGTTTGTTTTGTTTAAAAAACCTTTATTCCTACGTCATTTATCGTCAGCTATTATGTGTCATACGTTTGTGAGGACCATCAAAACATTTCTGGAACAGAATTTTTCACACAGTAGACTAATTGACGAAATTGAGTTCAGTCATTTTTCTACATACATCAACCTTTTTGACCATTGCATGCGACCAAACCTGAACTGATTTGTGATGATACTAAATAAATTATATTGCATTTCAGGAAGAGGTGAGAGAGGAAACTGACTTTTTGAAAACATGATCGATAGAACTGCCCATGTACCAATGAAATATGGGTCAAATACAAATGAAAAACAATTTTTTACCATGTTAACACTGCAGTATTTGAGCACTTGTAATCACATCTCCATTATGACAAAGCACCGTTTCATATTATCATTATGACAATAACCAACATCAGTGTGAAAAACAACATTTTTTTGCACTAATACGATAATGAGTTATCTATGTGTTATGAGAATTTTTCTTTTTCTGATAGAATTAACATGTAGAAAAATAAAGGTAGATAACAGATAAGCAACATTTTTTAGAAGCAAAATCAAAATTATTTAAAGGCAAATCTACCTTTAGAAGACACTCTTCTCCAACATTCAACATCCAAGACACTTCTCTTTTTACATCACGGTAAGCAACAATATTTTTATAAAAATTCTTGGTAATATTAAGAGTGTAGCTTAGTTATTGATATTGAGAAATTTATGTAGGCTTCTAATTTAATTAACACGTGTATAAGTTTCATCTGTATCTTAAAGAAAAACATATAATTAGTACTCATATTCAAACTACATAATCTATTTTAATTTAGATGAAATTCTTGGTAGTAGTGCTTGTCGCTCTTTTGGGCTGTGCATTTGGTTTGGACGAAACGTTGACAAAACATTGGAAATTATGGAAAGAACAACATGGAAAAAAATATTTTGATGCAGAAGAACATGTTCGGTAAACTATTATCGCTTGTCATAACTCTCAATCATAATTTAAAAATGTTGGCTATTCTAGTCGGGCAGTATGGGAAGATAACTTAAAATTGGTTCAAACACATAATTTACAAGCTGATTTGGGACAACATACACATTGGCTCAAAATGAATAAATTTGCTGATATGGTACGTACATCAGGAAATAATTCAGCTATTTCATATTAGTTATATGTTGACGTTTAGTGATAAAAAAATTATTTACACACCTAAAAATCTGAACTGTTTTTAAGTGTGTAAATAATTTTTGTATCACTAAGACAGGAAATGTCAACATATAATTTATTTCAAGTTGAGCTTAATTTTCTCTTTTACTTCATATCAGCTTTTTCGCTTTGTTATAGACAAATAGTGAATTTGTTAAACAAATGAACGGTTACAATATGTCATTACGTACGAATCAGCCAGCCGATCGTCATGAATTTACACGATCATTGAATGTTAAACTTCCAGACACTGTTGATTGGAGAGATCAAGGATACGTTACAGATGTGAAAGATCAAGGACAATGTGGTAAGTATGCATGATAGATAAAACATTACTAATTCAAAAATCATATAATTATCATTCTTAATTAGGTTCATGTTGGGCATTTAGCGCTACTGGTAGTTTGGAAGGACAACATTTCAAACAAGCAATGAAATTAACATCATTATCCGAACAAAATTTAGTCGATTGTTCAGGAAAATACGGTAATAATAATTTTTGTGCAACTTCATACTTCTACTAATTATTGATTTTATTCTTTTCAGGCAATCAAGGTTGTAATGGTGGTCTTATGGATCAGGCATTTCAATATATCAAAGAAAATATGGGTATTGACACCGAAGACTCTTATCCATATGAAGCTCGTGTAAGCAGAGAGAAAAATAACATACATTGATAGGCAAGACATGAACTAATTTAACCATGTAGGATGATACATGCCGTTTCGCAAAAGAGAATGTTGGTGCTACGGACACAGGTTTCACTGATGTTACAACAAAAGATGAAAGTGCATTACAAGAGGCTGTTGCAACAATTGGACCAATATCTGTACGTCTGTCTATAATCTATCTAATTAACTAATTGTGAGAATTTTGTTTTTCTCTTTTAGGTTGCTGTACGTATCAATTTGATTTTTGCTGAATAATGTTTATTGTTTGTAACAATGTTACTCAATTTTTCATTTTCTAACTTTTTTCTTAAGATTGATGCCAGTCATCCTAGTTTTCAATTATATTCACATGGAGGTATATGTTCACGTATACTGTAAAACTATGTTCATAAGTAATCTGTATTGACTTCATTTTTTGTTTAGTCTACAATGAAATATTATGCTCACAAATTCGTGGTATCATTCACATATGACAATAAATTTTGAAAGAAAAATTAGATCATCAAATCTATTGGAAGAGAGAAATAGGGGCTAAAAAGTTGTTCCAAAAGACAATTAACGTCATAGTTGAGCTACACCTTCTTGACCATGGTGTATTAGCCATTGGTTATGGAACAGATTCCGGTACAGATTATTGGCTCGTTAAAAACAGGTAAGATAAGAACGTGGGTTTACGATTATACATTATTGGTTCTCGTTTTGTTTTTTCACAGCTGGGGCAAAGGATGGGGTATGGACGGATACATCAAAATGACACGAAACAAACGTAATCAATGCGGTATTGCAACAGCTGCCTCATATCCATTGGTTTAAATAATTCAACATTTTTCTACGCACTGTAAAATATTTATTTTTTTAACATCGAATGTAATTTTGTATGTGTCTATACAAATAAATATTTATTTTTCTTAAATATTTCTTGGCTCTACACAGTGATAAATCGTTAAAAACAATTATCAGTGATCTTTCTCGTGATATATTATAAAATCTATTATAAAACGATACTATTGTTATATAAGTTGAAAAATCATTTCTCTAACAAGCTCTCATAAAACTTTGTTCATGCACGAAGAAGCGAAACAATAATTTTCTCTAATACATCTTCGTGTTTGTTTTTTTTTTTTCTTTAAAAAAATATAAACTTTAGTTATACTTCGGAAACAAACGATTAAGAAACAGTAGAGATTAAAAAGTTCCTAAATGTACTAAGTTACTGTGTTGTTTCTTAAAAACGGACCAATTTACATCCAATTTTTGATTGTGACACGCTATTCATATTGTATCACATTTTATGATTATCTATCCAACATAAGATCAAATATTTAACCCTCTTTTAGCTAAAAAAATCTTCTTTTATTATCGATTAGTAGATGAAAGATATATATATATAAATAGGGATACTCTATGTCAAATGCCTCCTTTCTCATATAAAAATGTACTTGGCCGAATGAACAAATTTTGTTTTCTTGAATGTGTATTATTAGATTACTTAAATGAAGAGAAAAAAAGAAGAAAACTTGTTGGTCCACATAAATACACAGGATTTCTCTCTGTCGTCTCTTCGTTCACTTTATATAAGTTAATTAGTTAAATCTCTAAAGATATTATGTTGAACATGGATTCATAACTAGACACACATAGTGGCAATATGCATTTCAGAATAATCAATAGATAAATGATTGATCAATCGTTTTCTTCTATCAATGATCAAGAAAAAAAATGATAAATTAAAAATATCTTCATTTGGTTGAAGAAAAATAATTAAAACAATAATAGCATCGACAGAAAAAAAAGACGCGATTGAGAAAACAAGAATGTCGAGAGGGAAAAGAAAAGGATATATCTATCTCTTGCAGTTGCATTTCTATTCAGTCACATATCAAAATCTTTTGTATGTGTGCATGTTTTCGATAAAAAGACGACTACCATTAATGAATATATTGTTAGATAGAAATAGACACAATTGAAAATTATTATTACAATAATGTTTGTTGTTATTATTAAAAGTGGCATATACGACGATGGCGGGTTGAATAAATATCTGAATGAAGATCTATATGTTGATTTAATCTAAACGGAAATTTATGTTGAGGGAGAGAGAAAAAGAAAGCGGAAAAAAAAATCGAAATAAAATTATGCATAGAGATCCTTTATTCATGACAAGTAAGAAATCTTAATGAGTTATGTTCGCATTTTACAGTATTTAAAATTAGTCAGTTGTTTTACTTTTTGCTGCTATAGACGTTTAAGAGAGAGAGATTAAGTTAGAATTTAAATTGAAAATGATATTTTCTTGTGTAATATTCTATTTTTTTTTCACTTAAAAATCTGAAACAAACACGTTTTTATTGAAAAACTAAAAAGAATGTCTTTTAAGACTTTTTAGTCGAAAAAATTCAGAATGGATTGGTTGTCTTCGGATTTTTGAAGCGATAGGCAATAATATTCTTTCATATTAGTGATGATATCTTGAGAGGTCAGGTAGTTAAACCAAATGAACATTCGATAACTGCTATTTACTTTTATTATTTTTAGTTTTCAGATCTTTTAAAAATTATCATGTCGATTCTAACTGATTTACTTGAGATTGGATTATCCAATTCGACAAAAGTCGCCTTATCAACAACAACTGATGATATTGATCATCTACAATTATCTATTGATGATAGTTTACCATTTGGTTCACACGATCATTTAACTCGATTAGAATATGTTTCATTTATAATCACCATATTAGCATTCATTATTGGAATAACTGGAAATTTATTTCTACTCATTGGCAATGGTTATGTGTTGCGTAATTCTCGTCCAAAATCTCGTACATTTGAAAATTTTCTTATTGAGATAGCTTGTTTTGATACAATTGTTTTAATTTATCATTTAATCAATAATATTATACGACATCAAAATGCATCAACATCTGCTGTAGAATCGATGACCGGTCTTATTAATATTTCAACATTTTGTTGTAAATTAATGACCTATACTATTCGTATAGCAATGTTAATGAGTCATTGGCTCATTGTTTTATTATTACTCAATCGTCTACTATTAGTTTATTCCAAATTTCAACATGCTGTAGCCATTGTTAATGCTAAATATGCTGTATTAGCCATGTTGTTTTTATTCAGTCTATTTAATGTACCAACAATTGAATCAATGTCATTCAATGAACCAATCATATTTCATTTAAATGAAACAACAAATTTTACATTTTATCGAAATTGTTTAATTAATTCAGAAATGGATTTAGAATTATCATTTAAATCTACGGTGGTCATGATAAATGTATTTTTATTTAATGGATTTGGTCTTATATTACCAACCATTCTTATATTATTATTATCATTAGCATTATTTCGTAAAGGCTGTGAAATATGGCATCAATTAAATAATCATACATTATCAACAGAAAATGTTTCATTAAGATTTGATTCACCCATTGCCGAATTTTTAAGAACATATAATTCAGCTTTTTCAATTGGTATTATATTTTTTTTACTATCAGTACCATGTAAAATATTACGTTTAATAATTATTATAACTGATTCAACAACACTTTTAATTCATTCTCATAGACATTTGAATACAATTGGTCATTTATTTGAATTATCATTATATATTTATAAATTTTATGTCTATATTTTTGTAGCAAGACGATTTCGTTGTGCACTAAAATATTTGATGAAACATCATCAATCAAGAACAACAACCAGACATTTAAATCGTAATTATAACAGTCGTTCATTAGACTCTGTACCATTTGATGCATTATATAAACATTTACAAACGAATGAATTTGATTCACCAATAAACTTATCATCAAGTAGAAGAAGTTCCTATAAAACACGTTCAAGTCTGTCAAGTAGAAAAACACGAGAAGATGAAATATCATTATAAATAGAGATTTTTTTAATTTGATTTTGTATCTATCCCTATTATATTTAAAAATTCTTTTAGTTTATGAATGACACTATGTGCTAAAGTATCAACAATCTTTTTTTTGTAAAATTTCTCACTTCTTATTCTGAATTTAGAAGAGCAAAAGTTTATATTTAGAAATGACTGAATTTTTACTCTTTCCTTGACAGACATTGTCAAAAATACACTAAGTAGACCTATGATGAGAAATTGATTGTTATTCCCAGCCTGTAATTTCTTAAAGTCACTGTTTTATTCTATTACCAAACAGTAGTTGCTAGAAGAGAACAGATAAACGAAAAAATCACAAAAAGAATAAGACTCGAGGGTAATGTTGTAAATGCAATATGTAAGCTACGGATTTTTTATTGAAAGTCTCATATATGACTGTAACAAATATGACAGTCTACACGGCAGTAGAAAACCATGTAATAAATTATAAATCCTCAAACAGAAAATCGTAGCAAAAAAACCGTGAAGAAAAACCGAGAAGAAAAAGAATGAGGTTCAAGTCATAAAGAAAACGGATGTGAATGTCAATATCATGGAGAATATCCGTGGGAGGGGAATGGATAATAGTAAAACATGAAGACACTCACAGCCATCCACCGACACTTACAGACATCCCCAGATAGTCACTGACAGCTACACAGACAACATAGAGACACCCACAGACAACCCAAAATAACTATACTAACCCTCCCTCCTCAGAATAAAAGGCCATGCCCTTTTACAATGTCGCGGTACATCGCTACGTTTTTGGTGGCCTTCTATTGAGGGTCAACTTTTGGCCAACTAGTAATAATATTTTTAAAATTTCAATAATTAATTAGTTTTTAATTAGTTTTTTAAAGGCACTTTTCAACGAATAAGTGTGTTTTTTTGTGAAAAACACACTATTTATGAGAACACAGAGAGAGATTTTGCGACAACCCCTAAAAACCCAGGTATATTTTCATAATTATTAATTAATATGTATAAAAAATATTGAGTTTTTAGAAAATATTAATTAATAAATGCTTGGCCTTCTATTAGGGCGTTTGAACTTTTTCCCACACATGGCCTTATACAGAGGGTGGTCTTCTATTCTGGAGGCGGGTTTATGTAAAAAAAGAATAGAGAAAAATCCATTAGCATAAAAATCATTTATCTTTCTTTTATCCGCATAAGTCATGCAACGGATGGGACAAAAGTTCTGCATTAATTTTGTTTTTGATATATCTTTACGATGGAATATTGTAGAGATTGTATCTTTTTTTTGTTCGAAAGAGCAAAGTCTCTAATACAAAACTTTTTTACATATACAAGTGTTTGATCGGAGATATTTTCCGAAAACCATAAAAGCCTTAGAACAAAAGGCATCAGGACACTGTTCCGCAATCTTTTCGAATTCAGAAAATATTCCACCCAATAAGAAAGGTTATCTTTTTATTCGTTTTATTCCAAGTTGTATAATCTAAGGATAGGGCACTATTGCTGCGCAAAAAAGAAATTTTCTAAGTGTTTTACAACGGTTGAAATGAGGGCTTTTAAAACATTCTATGTCATTACCGATTTTTCATCACTGTCGATCACAGTCGAAAAAAGAAATTCTACTCCGAGAGTGAAGTTGTCAGAACCTATATATTTTACATGAAAAAGAAAGCTCATTCAGTCCTCTACAAACGATACTATTTGGAATAGAACACAGTTGCTCTATAAGATATTAGAACAAAAAGTTGTTTTCGTGTTGTAAACGACGTCAAATGGAGTTTTTAATCAAATTGTCTTCTGTTCAGTCTCTTGTACTCAACACCAACTTTTTTAATATCATACGAAAGGCTTCATTGTAATGAACAACTTCATATATATGGTGCTAGAAAACATCGAAAGTAGTAATGAAAAAGATTAAACAAATGTATTTGGATACAAAAATTGTGACCGAAGGTGGGGAACCGTTTCCTGATGCATTTTGTTCTAAGATTTTTGTGGCTCTCGGGAAATATTTTCGATCAAACATTTTTATATGTTTTTGTATTAGACACTTCGCTCTTTCTAACAAAAAAAAAGGATAAAATCTCTACGATATTCCATCCCAACGCTATATTAAAAACAAAATTAATGTAGAACTTTTGCCCCCACCCGTTATCCAAGCACAAAAATATTAAGCTAGCCTGAAACCTTTTGCAGCTAGGTAAATGTTCCCTCGTCAGCTTATTGCAGAAATCTTTTCTGTTTGGGCATAAATGACTTCAGTTCTATCACAAGAAGTTGTTAGCTTCCATTTTTCTCTTCCTTTGGTAAACAAGTCATTGAAACTTGACAAGGAACTGCCCACACTGAGGATCTGTATACTAGTTCAGAACAATTTCGTGGTGATCGTCGTAGGGTTCATCTGACAGAGTGAAAAAAGTTCTGCGAGTCGATCAATCTGATTAGGTGAATCAAAACGTACACGCGTACATGCCTATAGGGAAGAAAAACTGTGAATTGATAAAAGTGTGAAGAAAAAGTAATGGACTTTCTATGGTTTTTTCGCTGTGTACACAAAAACAAAGGAAAGTTAAGTTTATGGTAAACTGAATAACGATTTGGAAACTTGAAGTGATTAATTTCAAGTGTCTCCTACAAAACTGGAGCCATTGAACATTTTCATCTATCGTGTGGTTCAGATAGAACATCGGATCTGCTGGGTGATACCTAGGCATTTTCAGGTGTGAAAACTTCAAAGTTTTTAATTGGAACATAGGTAATCGACTATAGAATACTTGTTTTTCATTAAAAATAATTAAAAAAACTAGTGAAAATCTACTTTCGTTGATATATCTCATTTTAGGCTCATGCAAAACGCCCTCAAAAAATTCAAATTCAAGAAACTTAAAAACTAAAGAGTACACCCTGTTTTAGTTGCTTTACATTCTGGCGAAGTGAAAAGTACGAAAAAATTCAAATTTAACTATGTTTTTATCATAGTTAAATATAATCAGAGATGGGCAGCTCCGACCCCTTCCGCTCCGGCTCCATGTCCACTTTTGCATACCTGGCTCCGGCTCCACTCCGGCTCTGCCTTCAATTTTGAATATCCGGCTCCGACTCCTCCCTAATGTTTTTAAACCCAGCTCCGGCTCCGACGTCCGCTCCAACTTCAAAAGAGTATCTTTTTCCTTGGTTTTTCTTTTAATGAGTTTTCTAGGTTTTCAACTAACAACAAATATGG